CATTTTTGCGACACATTCGTACATTGAAAGAAAAAGTATATTAACAATTGAATCAACAGTTTAACATTCAATATTTTCTTGGATTTAAATTAATTCATTTCTCAAGCAGTGACATCCGGATGATGTCCATATGAACAAAATTTGTGAAAATCACGACGTGACGTTCATATGATTTTCATTTATTATGCGGTGACTTCCGTATGATATCAGTATGAATAAAATTTGTGAAAATCACGACGTGATGTTCGTATGAATATCACGAATGTTGTCCGGGTAGGTTTTAAATTCGCAGTTCGCAGGTCTAATACGCATGCGCAAATTTTGCAAATATCACACCGTGAGTTCTACATGATATCACTGTGATGAAGCATGTGTATGCACTCAGGATATCACAGCGTGATAAAAAAAATCATGACTTCACCAGGAAATCCCGATTGTTTTCCGGGTCATTATGTTCATATTCCAAAGATCTTCTATGGAATCTTATAATATATATATATATATATATATATATATATATTAGGGTGTCCCTTATTTTTATTTTTTTTACGCATACCCTCTAATTATATTTATTACTTGTTTATATACTCCCAGTAAAAATTTCAGCTCATTCTATAAACGGGAACCCGTGCCGACTTGCATCTGAACCCTCCGTTAGCCAATGTTAGGCGCGCGGTATTTTGTATCACGAAACACTTTAAAAAGAAGATATACTTCATGACTGTATTTTTCTAATGATTTTATTAAATATGATTACTAATTAATATTATTGCTTTTGTTTCTATCATTTGTTTCACTAATTTAGTTGATTTTATCCCTTAAATATATTAATATAATTAGTATTGCTAAAATATTCTTTTATATGAAATTTCAGCTTTTTATAAGCATTTCTTTTCTTGGTGTCCACCCAAAAATATTTCAGACAGTTCAATAAGTTTTCGGTAGTCATCTCTCACAATAGACTCTTTTATTTATTTAGAGTAAAACCCATTAAGTTTATCAATTTTAGAGTTTACGGCCTATTCACCAGACCCTTCCGGGTAACTAGCCACTCCCTGTGAAAATATACATTTTTATTAAAGTATACACATAAATAAAACTATATTTTAACATTTGTCAATAATTTATAATATAAGGGTCACATAATAACAAACACAAAATGACTTCGCGACCAACCGTGTTACAAAATACCGCGCGACTAACGTTGGCTAACGGAGGGTTCAGATGCAAGTCGGCACGGGTTCCCGTTTATAGAATGAGCTGAAATTTTTACTGGGAGTATATAAACACGTAATAAATATAATTAGAGGGTATGCGTAAAAAAAATAAAAATAAGGGACACCCTAATATATATATATACGTGCAATAAGGTTCATATCAATTTTGATTTGGAATCCAAGGGGTTTTAGCTTAAATAAAACTTAAAAAGTGAAATAATCCGGAAACTGTTCTTGAATTAATGAAATATATATTTAAAAAATAGAGGATTTATTTATGGATTTAGGATTTAAATCCTTTTTTGCAAGTGGATTTAGGATTTATGATTTAAATCCAGATAACGTAATGGATTTATGATTGAGGATTTAGATCCAGTTTATGGTGTGGATTTATGGATTTAGATTTAAATATAAATATACATATATTAAATGTAAACATACATATAAAAATGATATTTTATTTGACTTAAGTTTAATGTGAACTTCTACAGTACAACTTGATTATAAATAACATCTATCAAAATTGTAAAAAACTTTAAGGCCCCCCCCCTAGACGAATTCCTTCCGGCGCCCATGGTGGGTAGGTATATATCTTTTTTGCGTGTTATGCCAAAATCATGAATTTACGCTTTTGCTTTATTAAAAGAAGCAATTTTTGGCTAACCCTGTATATATTAAATGATGTGCATAGTATAAACAGTATTCTTCAAATCTCCTTAACAATATACTCCAATATTATAAAAATCGGTGTACAAATGTATACCCTGTCAAAGGTAGACATTAAGATAAACAAAAATTTAAAAAAACAATCATGAATTTTCAAAAATTTTTGAAAGAGGAGCAGCTAGGATTTTGGTAAATATCATTTTTAAGTCACCAAAGGGTAACGAACAAGAAACTGCAATCAGTTTTTAGCGTCATTTTTATGTGACCTAAACTTCGTTCAGGCATACCTAAGGGACTTAAGTAATAAATCTATTTTTTTAGATTTCAAAGCCTGGAAGCCGCAATAAACAAAATGCGCGTTCTTTTTAAACCAAAACATTTTTTTTTGTTACCCGCTTCGCCTTAAGTACCTTATTTATTAAATAAAAACATGCTTTGTGGCATCTCTTAGTTTTCATATTTAGTATTTAAAATTTTGTCGAAAATATTTTTATTTAAAATAGAAGAGACTAAACTACATAAAACATAGCATTTCAAAAACACCATAATTGAGGAGGTGCATCCCAAAACTAGGCTTTTCCATATTAGTTGTTTTTGAGCAAAATGTCAAAAACCTTACTCGTGAATACTAATGCATATCAGGCAAACACAATACTAAACGAAATATACAGGCATAAGTAAAACATTTATATACCTTGATTAAAAAGGTGTAGGTCCAATTTAAAATAATTTAAAATAACATGCATGTATATGCCGAATTCTGCATGATATTACGAATATAATATAATATAATATAATATAATATAATATAATATAATATAATATAATATAATATAATATAATATAATATAATATAATATAATATAATATAATATAATATAATATAATATAATATAATATAATATAATATAATATAATATAATATAATATATATGTTACGGCTAATGTGCAAACTGGGATAGTTTATAAACTAGCCAAACTGTCAGCTATTTTAATTAAAAATGTATTTTCAACTAAATTAGCGGCAGTTTACAAAATAACCAAGGATCTTGGCTAATTTACTTTTGGTTTTAATTTTGGTTTTCATATTAGCCAAACTGAATTGGATAGTATACAAACTATCCATCTATTTTAGTTTCCCTAATAATTTCAAGTAAATTAGCCAAGATCCTTGGTTATTTTGTAAACTAGCCGCTAATTTAGTTGAAAATATGTTTTCAATTAAAATAGCTGACAGTTTGGCTAGTTTATAAACTATCCAGCTAGTTTATAAACTATCCAAGTTTGCACATTAGCCATAACATATATAATATATTATAAGGCAAGTTTTGCAACGATAGTCAATTTGTTAATGAATTTTAAATGGAATAGGGTGAGTTTTAGAATATTATGAACTTTTCAGGGTATAGGGGGATACATGTTAAATGTACAGACACCACTAACTCATATTTATTAAAAAGTGGATAAGCCGAGTTTTGGAATGGACCTCCTCAATTAAGAACCACCCTTAATCTGTTAATATTTATTATTATTATTAAGGTACAAAGTCGGTTAAATTATTAAGTTGGTGACATTTTTTTATTAGAATGGTGCAATGCAATAACAACATTTCAAAATATACAGGGTGTCCCATTAAAAAAAAAGTTATTTTTGTGAATTATACGTAAACTCCACACACACATTTTTTCTGTTTTAAAATTTTAATTAAAAAAATGCCATCAATTTGCTAATTTAACTGACTCTAATAAGTGAGCAGATAACTTTGGACATGGTGTATATAAAAAATGTCCCGTATTATTTTTTGTTTCTATTATTTTTTTTGTAGTTTAATTTTTACTGCAAAATTTGTGTTTAAAATTTTCATTTTTATATTCGGCTACGAAATAATAGTACATTTTTAAAGTATTTAAAGAAGGCTTAACAAGGTTCTCCTAGTCAAATAAAAATATTGTTTTTGTCTATCCCAATTTGGGATTCCCAAATCCAAAATAAGTAATAGTTATTTATGTCTTTTGTGCTGAGCTCAAAATTTAAACAATTTTGATAATTTGTTCAAAGCAAAAAACGACACTTCTAACCCGAATGGCATACGACATTTTATCTTTAATTTTATTTTTTAAATGATACATAAAACGTTCAATTATAATAATAATTATTAAAAGTAACAAGTGAGGTTAGATGAGACAGATGTAAAATTTTTTGATTAATCATTTGCGATAAATAATGAATGTGTGGTCTCCATATCCTGTAAAAAACCTACTCTCTAAAAATGTCAAAAATGACTAGTTACTACAGTTATTAGTTACTGCTTTTTTACTTATACCATGGTTAACCATGGAATGGGATGATATCCCCAATATTTAACAGCCAATTATTATGTACAATTATCCTCTAAATTTGAAAATACCGTAAAAAATTATTAAAGTAGAGCAGTTTTTGAGATATAGTTAGTTCCATATTATATGGAAAATTGACTAAAACTCAAAAACTGTTCTACTTTTCTAATTTTTGACAAAATTTTTGGATTCAGGGAACAATTTTAGATACAAATATACTGCTAAATTTTTGTATTAGTGGCTTTTTCGCTAAGAAAATTAATAATTTTTGACTAATTTATTTTTAGAGAGTAACCCAGTTGGTCCAAGTGCTTAGACTAAACCAATAACTTTAGTAACTAACGAGTGTTGACAATAATAACATTGAAATTATAGGCCGATTGAATATACAATAAATAATTTAATATTTATTTTCTAAATGGTTTCAGAACAGATTTTGAATTAAGTTTTTTAATAGAAGAGCATACATTTTTCCCCTTATTTGGCTTACACGTGGTGAATACAGATCAAAATTTATATGTATACAGAAATAATATAAATCTAATTAAATACTTAAACAAGCTCAATCAAAATAAATCAATACATGATGATAGTTTGTTATCGATGTAACTTTCACGTTAATATAAATATAGATTAGTTTAAATAATAAAATTTGAATAGGTTTTATAAATTTAATAAAAAGTAAAAATCAAACATGTAACTTTGTTTTAAAACAAAAACCTTTGGGCAACAGTAATTGGCGAAACAAAACATAAAATCGGCTTATAGAGAAGGGACTTACCTACTTATGCAATTTAGATCCTTGTTAAACAAAGCTTTAAACCATTCTTGCTGCATACACCAATATTAATACATGATCACAATGGAATACTTTATTTGTTTCATATAATATATTTTCATTTAACTAGCGAACTAGAGCTACCTATTGTTTTTCTGCATACGTCTGCAACGCAAGATCAATAGATTATGCGCATGCGCCATATTTACTTGGTCCACGTGGTTGGGAATAAGTCCTTACGTAAAGTGGAATAATTCAATTTGCCTTATTAGGTAAATATTTAAAAAGCCCCGCTGCCAATCTTGGGGGATCCTGTTTCGAGACCGCTGTTATTAACCATTACGACCAAGTTTATAGTCCATTAAAACCAATTTGGACATATAAAACAGATACTGACCATTTACATTTAAATGCTTTTAAATTTAATATTAACAAATTTTTAAAAAATATAAATTGGAATATCTGCCTAACTTGTCTTTATTTGATTTTAAAACATTGCGTTATTAAGTTTTCATAACCAAACGAAAAATACTTATAAGCATTGGTTGAAACAAATACATTTTTTTAGAATTTAAAACATAAATTTTAAATTTATAACACATTGTTTGTCGCCATCTATTATTATTGATTCTGCTCATAAACATTCCTTTTTTATTTATATTATATTTATATTAACGAGATGGCAGTTAAATCAAACCTTACAATTCAGTATTAAATATGCATTTTACCACCTTAACATGAATATAAAAATCAGTGACTTTATAACAAAATTTTTAAAAATCCCATTTTCTATTTTTATAAAGTGATTTAATTAATAACATTTTTAAGAGATTTGATTATTTTTGTGATTATTTTTCCTAATTTTACAAGTTGTTTAAATTTATATTTCATAAAATATACACTACTTTTTTATTTTATAAAAAAACATTTTAATGTAAAAAATATTTACTGCAGAAATTCTCAACAGAAAAAAAAATACCTATAGGTATCTCAAATATTAAGTAAAATTAACACCGGCGCATTCGCCATTTTAGAAATTTTAAAGATTAAAATGTAATGCTAAATAAGGTTTATGTAAATAAAAAATGTATTTAATGGAAACACAATCTACTAGTTAGTAAGAAGTAACAATTAGGGGTTTGGTTAACTAAAGCAAATGTATATTAAACTATAATTGGCCACAGTAATAAAATAAACTAAATTAGTATAAACTATTTTTGGTTACACAAGTATAACATTATAATATATATTTATATATATATGTACCTATTATGTATTTTGGTAATTTTGGAATTTTATTCATAAGAAAATAGTATTTTTTGTCAAGTTTTATAACCGCCATTTTAGTCACTAATTTAAATTAGTCACGAGCGAGCTTGCGAGCAAGTGTCTATAATAGTTGCATACTATATTTTTTTACGACAAATAGGTACTTATTATTATCTAAAAATAATTTAAAATAAATATTTGTATAGAATGACATCTATAAAACAATATCTTTATTACTGCGGTCAAAATGTCAAATTTTTACGTGTAAATCGAAATGTATCCCTTTAAAATGGAATAACCACGGGTTAAATCCAATTTAAAAGCAGTTTATTAAAGTAAAAGTGAAGATAATGTTTTATGGGCACTCCACAGTGAAGTCTCCTCCCAAAATGTTTAATGGTTAATCAGTTAAATCTAGTTTACAGCCGATGAAATCAAAAGGTCAGTACAATGTGCATTTAAACTTTTCAAATATTGGCGTTGAGAAAATTTTCACATTTAGTATTATTTTACAAGAAAGACACTTTATTTTATAGATTGTATGATATTTAAAAACTGTCAACTAACTTCAGCCGGTGACCAAAAACCTGTTGCTAACTTTAGCCATTGACTAAAACGTCATAAATTAACAACTTGTCAATGTGTATTTAAAAGGTCAGTTAGTGTCATGAAAACATGTACGATTTAAAGGGGGGAGATAAAAATGTTTATATAATAAAAAAAAGTGATCCTAATCTGATAAAGTTAACCCGTACTTACCCAATAATGATTAAAAATGTATACGTAAAATACCAATATTGGTTTTTTCAATATTTATAATGTTTTCGTTGTTTAAAATTGATTTAAAAAATACATGTATTAATGCTGTATATAAAAATATAAAAATTATAATTAATAAATTTGACTGTGCATGTAACTCGGCAATAAAGCCTTAAACCTATTTATGTTATTACAGTTTTTAACATTATTTTGCAGATTGTTGAACATGTTTAGCCAATTAAAAAAAATATTTTAAGTAGTCTGGACTTGATGTTCATGAATACTCTCTACCCTGACTGGTATATTGTTTATATAATAGAATCTGGTAAAGCTAAAATTTTTAGATTATAAATGAATAACATAAAATTAAACACAATACATTGTTTGACATTCAATATACTTAAGGTATAACATAACATAAATGGGTCTGTAACGATTACATTGTAGGATTATACGCATTGCCTTATTTTGTAACTTCTGCAGCTTTTGATTTTCATTTCAAACATATTACTTAAACAAAAATTAAAATGTGGGGAGAATATGGATTTATACATTAATAATTTTATATACATTGATAAACTATTACCTACTCTACTTAAAAATATATTTTCTTAGATATTTTATTTATAATGTAATATAGGTAGGTATGTGGTTTTTAAAATTTAAGTTTTTGTCTAACATTTAAATAATTAAAGCTATCTACTCTTAGGAGTTTAAATCCATTGATATACAGTTTTTTATTTACAGTTAAATTACCCAATTTATGACTACACCCTATAATAATATATTTTGATTTCTGAATATTTCAGCACATATTGTTACTACAAAGCCAAATAAAAATATTATTAAGATAACAAAAAAAAATGTTTCAAACCGGTATTATTCGACTTCTTACTGCAAAATAATTTTGATTTATTTTCCACATTTACTAGAATATTTGAACACCAACAATCTTATGCAGCAGATTTAAAAAAAATAGTCAGGTTTACTTTTTTAAACTTGTTTTCCTGCAAGATAGATAAATGGATATTTTTTGTACAATGAATAAAATTCCAATATAAACAAAATAACGGCAACCTAGTATGTATTTTAAGCAAATCGGACCAAATCAAACAATTTTTTTTGAAAAAATCTATAACTTGTATCTACTGAAGGGTCAAAATTCGACCATAGTTTATTTGACAAACTACTTTTATTTTTCGAAGAACCACCTAAAAACCATTATATATCCAGGAAATATACTTTTTGTATATTCAATATGTCCAATCCATCCATACGAGTAGATATTTAAGAGAAAAAGCCTACGGACGTCCTGGATAGATTCAGTCCTAAAGATTTCCTCTAAACATACTACTACTACTCTTAGGTCCTGAAAAAATCCTCTAAATGGCACACATTTGTATATTTATCGTGGTTATTTGTAATAAGCCTAGCCATGGCATTATTTGCTACTGAGCAATCAAAAAATAATTCATGTTTAGCTATGCTATCACACGCACACCTTCATCTGAATATTTATAGTCTGTCGGTATGTATAGTTTGCGCTCGTGCATAAGTAGCATGCTACTATATTTGTTTATAACTTTGTTAATTATTAAAAAAATAAAGATTTTTTGTTGTAATTATGTTTATAATTAGCTATTTTAAATATTAAGTACATAAAATGAATATTTTTATCCAAGTTTGTGACAATATAACCCAAATTTACATTTTACTCTTAAAACTTAAATATGGTCAGCTCTGTAATATTGTGCGTCTATGTATTCCTTGGTTATGTTATTGGCTTCGCCTACTAACAGTCTTGGTGCACAACGCATTTTCGGTCAGTTGTTACAGCCGAATTTGAGGTGTTTGCCGCAGCGCGCCCAGTCATGTTATTTTTATTTATTAATAAACTTTTCATAATTATCAACTCCTTTATCATTCATGTTTTTTTTTATTAAAAACTGGATCCGTTTCAACAAATTTTAAGATTAATTTATCGATGTATTTGTGGCCAACATTGCGATCGGGGTGATTTTTTGAGCACAATTTAGATTTACCAACTACCAACTCAACACGTTCCTGTAATATGTACACCATAATTATTTAAACAATTTAGCAAAGTAAGAAAAGTAACTTGACTAATTTACCATGCATCGAACTTTCAAATATCAGCTTTATTACGTAAAAACTTTTTTATAAACAATAAGCAAAAAACGATCACAAAGTAAAGAAGGTCGTTATTTTAAATGGTTTAGTTTTTTAAACATAAACAGTAACATTTGTAATAATTTGATTTGATTTATTGATTGATTTGAAGGGGAGCCTCTGCAGGCAGCATGTGGACACACATACAGACGATTGTGCAAACCCCCTTTTGGTGAAGCCCTGCCTTACCTTAGGAGCCCGCAGCTTTTAAGAAAAGCACGGACCCGCTCTGGTCGACACGCATTATTTCCTCTGGATTCAGATATCTGTCCCCTAGGTGTCTTAGTGTGCTATTTACTAGAGCGTCGCATTCCCAGGCTATAGGCTCGGTAGTTCCGTTTACATCCAGGGGTGTGATTTTTAGTACAATTGTACTTTTCTAGTACAAAAAAATAGCTTATTACGTTAGCACATCTTAGGCAATTCTAGTACAATTTTCAAAATTGCCTTCAATTATAAAAAATTAATAAAACTAAATACGAAATTAACAAAATTTCTAGCAACTGTTCTTTTACTGTTGCTAACGGAGCCTTCGTTAAGGAGCGAATCATAGAAAAAGTTTCTCTATGGAGGGAATCTAAAACAACGCGTTCAATGTCAACGTCAAGTCATCACTAACCTAACCTAATTCTGTCCCCGATAACCTGTGATGTGATAGTGGATGTCCTTAACAGGTTAGTATTTTTAGCTATGTATTAATTATCTCCTGAACTTTCTAAATAATTACACAACTAAAACCTTATCATGTCCCTTTTTGTAAATTTTTCATAAAAAAAAACAAATCGCCATTAGTTTATTTAGTACACTTTTACATATACAAGGGTGATTCTGGGAGCAGAAATCTTTGAATTTGGACAGTTTTTGAATTTTTGCGGTAAGTTAGTACAATTTGATGTTAGTTGGTACAATTTCACGCTAGATGGCGGCACAATTTG